CCAGTAAAAGTTCTAACAGCAAAACCTGGTCTTCCTCACTTTTATAACCCCAGAATTCAACAATCTTGAGGTTTTCGAGCTGTGAAGTATTGGACTTCACTGTTGCATCATCCATCCAAAGGTGAGGTTCATGCAAGTATTGGTGAAAATATGGGCAAGATATAGAGTTGAGGCCGGGATCAATCTGCAGGTTTTTTATTCGGACAAAAACGTGAATGAAAGATTACATTGAAACATTATTTGAAGTAATGCTGGAAAAACTTGTAGGCAAACAGACTCTTACTTTGATTAGTAACTTCTCCAGGGCAGGACAAATGTTCAGGAAGCAAGCCAGTGAGTCCCGTTTTGTCTTGTTCATTCCAGAGTGCTCCATCCAGCTCAATTCCTTTAACTTGTTGAATCTCAATTCCAGCCTTGAAAAGATTACTCCTCCTGAACACAACCACTATAGATGGAAAGGCAAGTGTTTCTTGTCAGGAATGGAAGTAGAAGAAAAGAGGATTCAGTTTATTTGGGTAATAAGAGAACTATACCTCAAGAAGCCAACTGCTAATAGTCAGGGTCTCAATTTCCTTGAGAGAAGTTAGGAAAGAAACAACATCCTCACAATCAAACTCACAACTACAAAAACCATCTCTCAAATCAAGCATCACTTCCACCAAGTCTAAAGCATTCTTCAGCTGAACCTGAGGAAGAACACCTTGATACCAAAACGATCTGAGATGTCTTGCTGAGACTCTGATGTTGACCATGTCTGGACAATCCAGTACTTTCAGGCTTTGAAGGTTGTAATTGGCCTCTATATCTAGGCTTTGCAATCCACTACACTTTTCAAGCTCTAAGCTTTCAAGACACTTACAACTGGAGAATAGGCCAGAAGTCAAATCTTTACCGAGGTTGTTAACTGATCTAAGACGAAGCATCTTGAGAGTGGAAAAGCTGACTGCCCCTGAGGCAGGGCAAGTTGGCTTGAACTTCAGATGGAAATCCTTGACCTCTGTCTCCCTCTTAGAGAACTCTAGGATAAGTTCTTGTTCTACCCCTTTGGTAGCTAAAACGAACACGTCATACATAGTTTCTGAAGCTGCTTTCTTGCTATCCTGGTAGTTTAAACAGAGTTTCCATATCCGATGACTATCATAAGACTTGGAGAGCATACAGATGATTTCTTTCAGCTCTCCTTCAGCTTCTTCATGACAGGGTACGAAAACAGGTACCCAGAGGCTTCTCCATACAGTTGAAAAAGTGCTCGTTCTCACTGCCTCGTCCAAAGGAAGGAGAGATACGATGCGTTTCAGAATATCTTGAGGCAAACTGCTGATAAAATCATGCCTCCCATCTTCCATTTCCATCCTCCCCTGGTTCAAAAACAAACCGTTAGACAACAACTTACAGATTATTTGCATACAAGAACGAGCAAATTAAGAAGAAAATTTCCCCAGTCAGTGGATACACTAGTTGCTACCTTATCCCTAGAGAGCCGGTTGCTTGACGTGTTTTCCAATTCAAAAGACTTTGAGACAAATTTATGATCCGTATTTCAAAGGATATCAATGTCTGTGTGAATGCTGTGCAAGGTGTACCACTACCCGTACCCCTTTTTGAGCTTTCAGGGCGATGTGAAATCCATGGACCTGAACCACTTTGCAGTTCCACGAGGATGCCCTTTGCCTTATATAAACACCTCTACGCATGGACTTCATGTTTCTAGAAGTCAATGTTAAATTTAATTGATTTAACTATAAATTTGTTAGTGCTGAACGGGATTACCATTAGACTTGATCAAACCGACAAGTCATTGGGCCGTACGTTGAATAGTGAGAGCCATTTTAAAGTAGGCAGAAAAAGTCAATTAGCATGAACACGCAAATTGGGCTATGTCTGAAAGAAAAGAAAAACAAAAAGTTGGACAATTGTATGGACTATCTTATATTACAATTTTGTTAGTTTATTAAAATTAAGTTATGAATAAGATAAATATATATTATTTGTTTCTGTAATATATATAATTTTAGGATATAAAATTTCTAATATCAAGTTAATTTTTTTAATAAATACAAAATTTATCAATTTTGAATTATATAAAATGGTTAAAAAAAAATCTTGCCATTATTATTGATTGATATGATTGGTAGTAATAGTTTTTTTTTTTTGAACTGAAGTACTAGTGTTGGTGGAGAAAGCCACCTCAAAAGCGAAGCATTTCATACATTCAAATCCGAAATTTATTATTACTTTGAATATTAAAAAGATTTGAACATTATTTTTTTAAATAAAAAAATAATATATTAATTAATGAGTCAATATGGTATAATTTGATGGAGGGAATAAAATGATATATAAACACAGGAAAACAACGTGTGTATTCATTGACCTTAAATAACTGGGAATTGGTTGGTCTTTTGCATCTTTAGTCAACTTTTTCCAGGTACTTAATATTTTTTTTATTTGTTCTTTCTTATGGGCCAATTTAGTGTTTCCCTGTCTTTGCTATTACCCAAAGTGATAATAGTAGCTGAAGCTAAAGTTTTAATTTCTGGGTTTCATAATCATTAACAAGAAAATTTTATTTATTTTTTATAATTATCCAAGGTTTATATTTGATGTATTATTACAAAAGCAATGACCACTTTATGTATTGAATTTTGATTAAGTGCTAAGCAAGATATTATCAGAAGCCACGTCAAACTTGGGCTTTTTGGATCTGCTCGTGCATTTTCCTTTGAAAAATTGGCATAAATATTTGAAATTGGACTATCCTTTTTGCAATGACTAGATTTCACCTTAGATCGCAAGCACACTCGTACCTCTTAATTTAATAATTGTTGCAAGGCTTTTTGTCTAAAGTCAGAGGTTAGATTTTTCACGCCGAAAATGCTGTAAAGTTAAGTACAGATTTTGGTACGACATTCAACAGTGGTGAATCTTCAAAGAGAACAACAAGTGTGGCAAAGCATGAAAGTCAAAATGCTATGAAGAATTTTAGAATATCAATTAATCTGTTCTAATTAATTAATCTGCTTAATGTAATGGTAAATTTTTATTAAATAAATTTATTAATTAGTTGAGATCTTAATTCAAATTTATAGGTTATATATTTTTATCAGATTTAAGATGATTAATATTTATTGTTACATAAGTTATACGTGATTTTATAAATTATTCAATATTTTTGAAATTAAGAAAAATATTATTTTAATAAAAGTTATTCAATATAATTAAAATTTCTATTTACAAATCAGATAAATTTTATTAATATTAATTTTCAATATAAAAATATTTTTAATGGAAGTATTAGATACAATTAAAGTTCTTATATATTTACAAATTACATAAATTTTATTAATATTAATAATAAATATTTGAAATGATAAATATAATGAATAAATATGATTATTTTCATCAATCAAAAAATTTTTCAACGTTCTTACTTTTATATATATATATATATATTATAGATTTATGGTCGGAATAGATAAATAAATAAAAATATTAAAGAAAATGAGATTCAAACATGAAAAATATTTATTGCTTGTCATATTAGTCTCAACCTACTGCTTAATTTGCTTGTTATACTAAAGAAAATAGGATTTAAACATTAAAAACCTTTATTAATTGTCAGTCAAAATATTTGAAAAGTTTCTGTATTAGGGTATTTTCTTCAATTTAATCTTTCAACTCAAATCACGATATTTTAATTATTTTATTTTAAAAATTACTTTAATTTAATTCATAGCACATTTTTAATTAACTTGTTGACATCAGCATTGACGTAACACTAGATGCTAATGCGAAATTGCCACATAAGCATGGCTAGATGACATGGCATTGCCACGTCACACTTTGAGTTCAAGTGTTGACATAGCACATCAAGATGAATTAGCTTGTTGACATTAACGCTGACGTAACACTAGATGCTAACCTCAACATTGCCACGTAAGCATGACTAGATGACATGGCATTGCCCTGTCATCACAAAAGTGACATACCATTGCCACATCACACTTTGAGTTTGTTGAAGTGGCACATCAAGATGTTGACACGTGGCATTTTTATTCTTAAAAAAAATGTGCTTTAGTTGAAATTTGAAGTTAAGATCTTTAACAAGTATACCAAAACTTTTACCACCACATTCAACCCTTTATTCATAGTTATAACTTGCTTGTGTTTTAGTTTTTCTTTTTTTATCTCCTTTTGTTTCTTTTTTTTTCTTTCTTTCTTTAAAACTACGTGGTTTTATAACTTTCTTTTTTGGAGAAGAAAGCTTCAAAGGGTTTTTGAAAGTATAAAAATACTTCAAAGTGACATAATTTGAGGAAAAAAAGAAAAAGAGAGAAGAGAAGAAAAAAATAAATAAAACACAAGCAAATTATAACTATAAGTAAGGGTTTTGGTGTGATGGTAAAGGCTTTGGCATATTTATTAGAAGACCACATATTGTTTTGAAGAATAAAAGTGGCACGTGGCATTTTAAATCCAAATTATGATGTGGTAGTGCTATGTCATCATGTCAACACAAGTTGATGTCAGTAATATAGAGATAATTAATTTTAAATAGAAAGATTAAATTAAAAAAATTTTGAGTAAAGAAACTAAATTAAAAAAATACCCTAATACAGAGACTAAGTATTTTGACCATTAATTGTCACACAAGTCTAACTTTATCTATCTAATTTGCTTGTGATACTAAAGAAAATGCGATTTAAACATGAAAAACCTTTATTAATTGTCACACAAGTCTAAACGTATCTGCATAATTTGCTTTTGATGGGATTGTGAGTACGGTATTATATCGACTGCCATAGCAACTATTCCCTGCTCAAATCTTCAAGTTTCGAAAGTTGACTGAAAGAAAGTGACCCGAAGAGTATATGCTGCTTTCAAATTTGGAAATTTTCAGTAGTTTTTGCCGCATATATATATGCCCTCTATAGATATGACTTATTCAATGAAACCATGGAATCTTACAATTTGTGCTACATTAATTCAATTTCCCCAGATAAAATCAACTTGTACATAATGAGGGTAAGACTACAGCAAATGTGATACAGCAGCAGGATAATTTTCGCAGGGAGTTCAAGGAAACAGCCCTTTGGGTTTAATTTATTATTCAAGGTGTTGCATTCTTGTGCAAAAGTGCAATCCTTGTGAACAATGAATTTTGGATCCTGATGATGAATTTGATTAGAGACAAAACAGCATTCTGCTTTTGCTGGTTGCCTGATTGCCATGTCTGACTCAGTTGACTCTGATCATCAGGGATCTTTGCAACCTGCCAGGAATGATGCTGTGGTGAAGTAACAGTTACTGACTCGAGCAAACTTCCCTTCTTTAGTAAAAGATCAATAAGCAGCGACTGATCTTCTTCATTTGTATAACCCATAAACTCAACGACCTTCAGGTGCTCCAATTGTGAAGTGTTAGACATCACAGATGTATAATCCATCCAGAGGTGAGGTTCATGCCAGTAATGGTGAAAATATGGACAGGGTAAATGACCTCGGTTTGGATCAATCTGCAGGTTTTATCCAAGTTAAGAAGTGAGTGAAAGGTCGGAAATTTGAACTACTCTATATATATAAATAGTACTTCTTCCGTATCATATATTGTGTCTGATTTAGACTTTTCACGAAGTTTAAAAAAAATTTAAGTTGAATTTTAACGTTCATTGATTATATACTCGCAGGAAATTAGTAGTGTAGTAGGCTCTTACTTCAATTAGCAACTTCTCCAAGGAAGGGCATATGTTAAGGAAGCAAGCTAGGGAATCCCGCTTGGTGTTGTTCATGGCAGAATCCATCCAGCTCAATTGCTTTAACTTGTTGAAGTTGAAATCCAACCTCCGAAATATCACTCCACCTAAGCATAACCACTATAGAAAGCCATGGGTATGATTCTTGTCCGGGATTAAGGTATAAGCATTTTGAAAGTTTGGAAGAAAGGACTTTTCAGTTTAATGGGGTAAAAGCATAGTACCTCGAAAAGCCAGCCGCTGACTCTGAGGACCTCAATATCCTTAAGAGTAGCTAGGAGGGAAAGAACATCTTCGCAATCAAACTCACTAGGCCCTGAACCATTCCTCAAATCCAGCATCACTTCAACCAAGTCTGAAGTATTCTTAAGATGAACCTGGTGAGGAAGTATTCCTTGATACCAAAACGATCTGAGATTTATTGCTGAAACAGAGATATTGATCATGTCTGGGCAATCTATTACTTTCAAGCTTCGAAGGAAGTGGTTGGCTTCAATGTCAAGGCTTTGCAAGCCATTACATCCTTCAAGATTCAAGCTTTCGAGAAATTGAGAACTGGAGAACAAGGCGGAAATCACATCTTTGCTAAGGTTGCTAAGCCGTCTAACATGGAGCATCTTGAGAGTACTGGAAAAGGTAGCTGCGTGAGGTGGGTGGCCGAGCAAGGAATGACAGGAACAGCATGATTCCAGCTTCAAACAGAGATTCTTTACCTGCTCTTTCTGCCTCTCAGAGAAGTCCAGATAAAGTTCTTCGTCAACGCCTTTGGCAGCTAAAGCAATGATTTCACCCTTCATTTCTGAAGGTGCTCTCTTGCTATCCTGGAAGCTTAAGCACAGTTTCCATACCTGATGACTTTCATAAGGCTTGGAAAACAAATCAACAATATCTTTGATCTCTCTGTTAGCTTCATGAAGGTTTACTTCAACAGGTACCCAGAGACTTCTCCAAACAGTCGAAAGGGCGCTTGTTTTCATGGCCTGTTCTAATGCAAGGAATGAAATGATCCGCCTCAGAATATCAGACGGTAAACTGCTGATGAAATCACACCTTTTGTCCTCCATTTTGTTCTTCTGGTGCAAAATCATATCAGTTGTTACTCGTTAGACAACATAAATTATCAAGGTTACCATGAACAACATTCTAGCTAAAGAATCTACTAGAGCAAGAAAGAAGCATACCACCAATCAAAATAAAAAGGAAGAAAGAAGAAAATTTCAGATAACTTGATAAACAGTTGATACCAATCAATTTATTACAGGATAGGCACCAGAAAGCAAGGTCCTGAAACACTAGACAATGTTAGCCTTCTTTATATATTGACTTTAACTGCTAGAATGGCTGCTTTCCTGGTCGGCCTAAAACCCAAACAATTACAAAAAAAGAGCCCAAATTTTTCATTTTCTTCTTGACATTTTCCCTTCGTTTTCAATCATAATAAAGAAATGAATGTAATAGTTAAGTGAAGTTAATAGATATCAATTTGACTTGGAAATTACCCGCAAGCAAGTAAAGCCTTGAAAACACATTAGATCATCGATCAAAGATAAAACTATAGTAAAAAATTACCTTGATGACTATAATTAGACTTGATCAAACACATGTTCCTGTCGACTTTGCTTGGGTTTAGTTGATTTGACATTTGCATGTTTAGACTAGATAAGAATTGAAGTCGCTGTCAATTACTTAAACTACTGCAGCGGCTGCTGAGAGAAAAGATAACAATAAGTTGAAAATGGGTACAGCAATTTTTGGGATGTTGATTATTTTAATACAAGAGCAAGACAGAGACATGGAAGGGTTTACGACAGAAACTCAGCCAACTGTTCCTCTAACTGTTTTATAATTAGAAAATGTTGCTATATACGGACTGTGTTTGCAATTGAAAATAGATCCTATAATTGTTTAGAAATGATTTAAAGTATTAAACAGAGTCCTTGAATTATATTTATTTATGTAACTAAGCTTTTAATTTTTTATTATATATACAGATCTTTAATAAAAAATTAATAGACTCGATGACAATTAATATTTTCTATCAACATAACAACAATATAATCACATAACAATTCTATCAAATGAGCCTTAGGGTCACGTTATGACATAGATAAACAATATCAAACTTATATGTTGACCAATGAAGCAGCATCATTTTATATATCGTCATTAAATCAATATTCAAATGAGAACTATCATCGTTCGATTTAGAAAAAATTTTAATAATTCAAGCGTAACTTATTGGTAGTGTTAAAATTAATTTGTTCAAATCACATCATATGGAGATTTCATACAACTTTTTGATATAGTCGGAACTTGAAATTGTTGCCATTCAATCTTGGTCAAGGCAAATTAGTTTGTTTATCTTTGCATATGCATATATTAATCAAATAAACAACTACACAAACAGATTAATTATTAAGCTTTCTTTGTAATCGGCTGAATAGTATTATTATAGCTGTAAAGTTTACATACCAATATGGACCATACTTTATCTTCTTTTTAATTAATCCACCATATGCAACAGTCAAAGATCTGCCTCTAAGCTACTTTTTCCGCTGCTTTCTTTCCCTGGCCGGCGAATTTAAAGCCTGCTGCTCATCTTTTTATGTAAGGGTAAAATAATTAAAGCACCAAGAAAAAGTTGATCCAGTCAATTCCTCTACCATTCAAGATATCCAACCACTAGCTACTGCCCAAGCGACCCAGGATTCTCAGTGGAGAATACTGTTCTTAATTTTCTTCTGTATCTCCCTGTGTCAATCGAGCCTTACTTTTACAGATGCAGTGAACTTAAGTCTCCTGAATTGTGAATCAGTCAAGGGATTAGTTGAGGAAATCAGAACACCAGTCAGCTAAATTCTCTTGGAGAGAAAGTATATGCTGAGGTGGCCTGGGAGAGACAGGTTACTGTAGGCTATGTTTCTGGTTGTGCATTTGCATTAACATCTTGAAAACACCTTTCACCTTATCTTGAAACTCTTTCTTCCTACTTAAAGAGTCTTTTTGAACCCAAAGCATTCAATATTTCAAAGCTTTTTTCCAGCTTCCATGCGAAGAAAAGCATAAGCAGTGACTTGAAAAGCTCACCAGGACATGTCATGGTTTTAACAAACGTTGCCGCTGATTGGAACAAAGTTAGACGTTTTGTTCTGATTTTACCTTAATTTCACTTCAAAAATCTTTTGCAAGTTGCAATAGCAAGAGGATGTTGACTCCTAGATAAAATATTGAAAGCATTTTTCAGTCCCAATATCTTTTCTGCAATTTCTCGTAATAGCACGTGCATGTGCACTTCCAGATACATATGCAAAGTCAAAGACTCAAAATGTATAGCTTAGAGAAATAATTCTGTAGGTTGTTATTATTATTAATATTATATATACATTTTAAATAAAATTTTTGCCTAAAAATGCTAGTTTATTCAATGATTATTGTGTTATATATCATTTATATCTACAGGATGTTAATAATTTTTTAAAGAGTTTTTTTTTGACTTGCGCTGGTCTAAATTTGAATTAAATGAATAAAATTAATCTGAAAGTTATTTCACAAATATCTAAATTTTTGTTTGACAATTGAACTGAAAAAATAAGAAAAAGAAATTCAAATTTTAATCATTTATCGAGGAATAATCACACCATTAAACAATATGAATCATTACATATTTAAAATATGTAAAATGAACCTTCAACCTTAAATAAAAATCAAAATTTCTGACAACTATAAGAAATGTAAAGGGAAAAAATGGCAGAGAATCTCTGATTGGAGATTAGGGAAATCTAATGTTTCCTTTTGTTTCTTGTAGACACTGGGATTGTGATTAATGACAAGCAGTGCAGTTCCTAGTCATGCAAATATAAGAACTGGACAGCAAGACAAGAATCAAATTCCCTGTGGATGCGGGTGGATTTTCCATTTTTGATAATGTTCAATAGAATCAGAGAAAACAATTTCGGGAAAGTTTTTTCCACTTGCTTTATTCATTCCAAGTTGAATGTTTTTCTACAAGACTTGCCCTTTTTATAAATCTGTTCCTCTTCTATAAGGCTTTTTTTTTTTTTTATTTAATCTTCTTTCTGTGCTTAATAAGGCTCTTGTTCAGGGCAATAAACAGAGAAAATAGACAAAGCTATGTACTCATTGTGGAATAACAATGAGGTTAGTCATGCTTCTGTTTTTTTCTTTGTGGTTTTAATTCCTTCATTTATGAGATGTTGGTTTATGGAGTAAGCAAGGGCAAATTTTCCCTTCACCCTTGAAGGCCAGGGTTATTGCCAATGGCTTCATTTTAGGCCTTTACTTTTTCCATTAGTTACAGACTTTCTGTTGTTTTTTTTAATTGTTAAATTTGTGATACATGATTGTAGCTATTTTTTTTCCTTTTTTTGCTCTATTTTTTGGCATTGCAAATGGATGATTGGGGTTTTAAAATTCAACTACAGCATATATGCAGAAAGGGTTTTTAGTAGTAACAATTTAAGGGGATAATGATCAGATTTCATTGAGTTCACATGATCATGGCGGGATTTAAAACTTGGGTTTTCATTTCTATACCCGTAAGAGTTTCGACCTGACTTCGTTTTATTCATAAGTTAATTAATAATGTCTTTGCATGCAAATGATCTGTTATCACTGTAATTAAGATAAAGAAATAGGTGGTACCATGTTGTTGATATGTAGAACTCTGCAGTAATACTCTGACAAAATTTTTCGATTTCAGGATATAGTTCACTTATGATTATGATTAGCTTATATTTTCTTCGTTAAGATTGAGACCAGCAAGAACAGTGCATTTGGAGTTATTGCCTTCATAATCTAAGCGTAGGTTTACATGGTGGCATATGCCAGGAAGGCCAAGCCTAATTTAGGACTTCTTGGTTGTCGAATATCTAGGACTTATTGCCATGCATCCTAATTTGATTTTCAATCTGGCAGAGCATGCTCGAACTGAAATCCAGGCATCTCTGCTACAACTATGAACTTGAATCAATGAGAGAGGCGTTACTGGGGGAAATGGGAATGCACCAAGAGACTACAAATGTATTATATCAACTCTTATCTGATGCCTGCCAAGAAAGAGATGAAGCTAGAGAACAGTTGAAGAGATCAGTGGCAGAAATTTCTGAACTGAAGAAACTAGTGAACAGGCTCTTGCCATCTAATTCGGCTGAAATCAGCTCTGTTGTTTCGCATGTCCAACCTGACAGCCGGAACCAGGAAATCTTGAAAGGAAACCTAGATATCAGAGGATCAGACACTGTATCTGAAGCATATAACAACTATTCTGATGAGTCATCCGCAGCCAACAGCATTTCTCGGCCGTTGTTCAATGCTAGCCTGACTGATTCCAGCAACCTTGCATTGTTGAAAAAGTCATTTGTTCAAGACTCTGGTAGCCATATCCGAATGGGAAAATTTTCTTCCAAGGACTTGTTAGTGAATCCTGCTTCAAAAGTAATTACTACTCTTGTTAAGGGAAAACCACTGCCGGAAAAAGGGAGATTTCTGGAGGCTGTTCTTGACACTGCACCCTTGCTGGAGACACTTATGATTACAGGCCAGCTTCCAAAGTGGCGAAACCCTCCATCTTTGGCATCCAATCTCATTGCCAATGATGATCATGGCTTGATCAACCAGAGAGCAGTCATCAACTCAAAATCTGCAACTCCAGTTCCCACAATGTTGAAATCTAAGAAATGTTCAAACAGCTTCAGCTTCGAATCCTTGGGGCATGCTGGTATGCAGAGGAGATTCAAGTGAACATTCAGAGAAATAATATTGTCAAAGAACCAATTGAAATCCAAATTTCATGTAAAAGCCTTCTCAAAGGATAATCTTTTTGCTCTTTTCTCCCCTACTCACCTCCATTCTTAAACATGAAATCTAGTTTGTTAAACTGAAACTTCTATTTGCCTTGTCAGCCAAATGTAATGCCCTCTGTCTTTCAAATAACTTACATGGTTCTTTTTAATACTATTTAAAAAAATTCATATAAGTATTTATATTTTTATTATACTCAATAAGTATAATAATTTTTATTTTGAATCAAATAAATTTTTATAATTAACACTTATTTAATAATCATTAGTCAAAACATCACTTGTTAATTTATATTAACATGACATTAACGTTATACTTTTTTTTTAATACATAAAAACCTTAAGTTTAAAATTTCAGATTAAGAGAGTCTAACATATCCTTAATAAATAATGGATACAAATCTATGGGAGGATTATTAAGGGAAGTCTTTCCCAATAGACAATGCTAAGCTAAATTAGTAATGAAGTTTGCACACATGTTGCTTTCCTTAAAAATATGACGAATCTTTCTTATCTCACCTTTTTGAGTCAAAAAAACACAATAAAAAATTAAAGTAGCATATGGATGAGATGGCACAACACCCTTCTTTACGAAATAGACTAACACTATTGCATCGAGTTCAATGATCAATTGGTTCAATTGCAAGTTTTTAGCTAGCAATAAACCCTCTCGAATGCTCCAAAGTTCCATTATCAAGCTATCTGTAGCGTCAATATTTAAGACAAAACCACCAATCCATTCTCCATTAGAAGCTCGAATTAAACCCTTCGTAAATGTGCATTTTAAGCTTGATTTGTAGGTCTCATCAGTGTTAAGAATAAATCAATTCGATTCTAACAGCTTCCACTTGACCCTTCTAGCCACTTTGCTACTTCTCTGCTTTCGTTCCATGGGCAGTCCAATTTCTATAGCTAGATACAAAGACATTCCAAAAATTATTAGCACATAGATCAAGTTGATGGAAAACTCACTTATTCCTGTTTTTTTTTTTTAATTCTCACAAAATCATAAAAAATTAAACACTCTATATCAAATTATTAATAATTCTAAATTTATTAAAACAATTTCTACACAATTATTCTTTTAAATATGAATCAAAGAAACTTGTCTCGTCAATTACCAGATGCAACCAATACCTCCAAACCCTTCTCGCATAAAGGCAATCTCCAAACATGGAGTGTTAAAGCGTCGACTATGCTCTTCCTTTCTCCCTATTAATTTATATTTTTGTTTTAAGCGAGCCTTTATTTAAGTGTATAAACTACACCAAAATCACTCGATGCATTACACTTTCCTAGAATGTAGATTGCCTCTCGTAGCAGCCGCCACCATTTTCAGAAGAACTTGCACAGCAGCTCGTAGCTCTCTCATTGACACCCAAAAGGCCTCCAATATTCACATTCCTTCCTCACCTAATCTACCCAATCCTATTCTCAATGCTACTCAAGTGTTCGACGAAGTGTCTGACTTAGATGTAGTTTCAGCCACTTCCATAATTGGAAGCTTCTCTAAGCAACACCAGCATAAAGAAGCCATACTTTTATTTTCCAGGATGCTCTTCAACGATATTAGACCCAATGAATTCACGTTTGGGACCGTAATTCACTCTTCCACTTTGCTAAAAGACCTTAACATTGGCAAGCAACTTCATGCTTGTGCAATAAAAATGGGCCTCAGTTCAAATGTTTTTGTGGGTAGTGCAAGTCTAGATTTTTATTCAAAGTTGAGTACAATTGAGGAAGCAAGAAGGGTTTTTGAAGATACCCATCAACCAAATGTAGTATCCTACACAACTTTGATATCTGGATACATGAGAAAAAAGAGGTTTGAGGAGGCTTTATGGTTGTTTAAAGAGATGCCTGGGAGAAACGTTGTTTCTTGGAATGCAATGATTGCTGGGTTTAGCCAAACTGGCCATAATGAAGAGGCTGTGAATCTCTTTATTCGGATGTTGAGAGAAGGGGTGATGCCTACCCAGAACACTTTCCCTTGTGCTATTATTGCAGCTGCTAATATAGCTGCACATGGAATGGGAAAAAGTTTTCATGCTTGTGTTTTTAAGCGCTTGGGAGACCAGCTTAATGTGTTTATTGGCAATGCTCTTATTAGTTTTTATGCCAAATGTGGAAGCATGGAAGACAGTCTCTTGGTTTTTAATAAACTTCATTCAAGAAATATAGTTTCTTGGAATGCTTTGATATGTGGTTACGCACAGAATGGAAGAGGAAAGGAAGCCATAGAGTTCTTTGAGAAGATGCTTGTAAGTGGTTTTAGACCTAATGATGTTACACTTCTTGGTTTATTATGGGCTTGTAATCATGCTGGTCTTGTTGCTGAGGGTTATTCATATTTCAACAAGGCAAGAGCTGAGGAACCCAACTTGCTAAAACCAGAGCATTATGCATGTGTGGTGGATTTGCTCTCTCGGTCTGGGCATTTCAAGGAAGCTGAGGAGTTTATTCAGCATTTGCCATTTGAACCAGGTATTGGGTTATGGAAAGCACTGCTTGGTGGCTGCCAGATTCACTCAAATACGGAATTGGGGGAATTTGCAGCCAGAAAAATCATGGCATTGGATCCTGAGGATGTTTCATCATATATAATGTTGTCCAACGCACATGTTGCCATTGGGAGATGGGAAATTGCATCAACATTGAGGAGGGAGATGAAAGAGAAACAGATGAAGAGAATTCCAGGCTGCAGTTGGATTGAAGTAAGAAACAAAGTTCATGTTTTCCTGAGTAGGGAACGCAAACACTCCCAGATGGATGAGATCCACAGAGTCTTGAGGTTTTGTATCCAACACTCACAGGATAGTGAAGCTGCCAGCTTTCTAATGGAGTTTTACATCTAGTCAGTAGAAATAAAAATAGAATGGTCCTTGGACTTCGATTAGGCTGCACTGCCTCTATTGTTAAAGGCACACTTTCATTTCCTTTGGGAACGAATACATATCAAGAAAGAGCAATGGGGAATAGTAGACTTGGGAGACTCAGCAACAAAGGAGACCAAGTGTCAAATCAATTCGAACCTCGGGCAATTCGATTCCAAATCCAGCATTGCTGCTTGTATGAAAATTGGATAGCCTCTCATGCGGGCTCGAGCAAGACAATTACCATTACCAAAGAGGACTGCACAATTGACAGCTCCACAGTATTAACAAACAGAGACACATACATCTGTTAAACAGGATAGTCTCCACTCGGATTATTAAGCAGAAAGGAAAAGAAAAAATGGGGAAGATGGAGAGAAAAAGCCAAGGAGAACAAGAAACAAAAACTTCTTTATTATTTTGATGCCTTATTTCGCTTATAAATGAATGCCATGTGGCAAATCTTCTTCCACGTAAATAGGCCATGTGGCATGCCACATGGAAATTTTTATGAGAGGACTCACGATGTTATCTAGGTGGCAATTTTTATTATTATACTTTTGGGACACGATGATTATGTTATGGACCCGCGCGTTCATTTCAAAAGATATTTTTAGTGGAAGAATCCTATTAATTGTAAACCTAAGGCTCGTCTCATTGTTCATTAATTTGAAATTTGTGACAATTATATTTAACTTATTGTTATATATTAACAAGTAAAGAATGTGAAATTAGAGTAAAATTATCTCAAAACTTTTGTTCCAAGGTTTTATCTCATTTAATATATCAAAAATTTATTACACATATTCAAGAATGAGATCTACCATTCACAAGTAGATCAAATATTTATATATAAATGTTTAAAAGTTGAACTAATAAACGTTATCATATTAGGTGGGACAGACAAAGTAAAGTGTTGAGATGAAAAATATATATTTTTTGAAATATTTAAATAATTTTTTTATACTTACGTAATATTTAAATTTATGATAAAAGATATTAATAATAATTAAGTTCAAATTCGTCACTATTTTTATCATTATATTTTAAATTTTATTAATTTTTGTCACTATATTTTTAATTTTGTTGATTTTGTGTATAAAATAATGAAAATTAACGAAAATTTACCAATTGCATTACCGGTATTTTCTATAAAATATTATGATTTTGGTATTTTCTTTTTGTAAATCAACCGAATTGAAAAATATGGTGACAAAGTTAAATAAAATTCAATAAAATCAGCAAAACAAAAAAGTTTATCATTCATTTGGGTTTCACAGAAAGCCCAACACCTAGAGAACCAGCTCTCGTGGGCCCGACCCATTAAAGCTATCACGGGTCCACTAATCTACACGCGTCAAATAAACGCATCGATTAACAGGTGCCCTTTCCCAAAAAGAGGCAAAAAGAATAAATGGACCCAGCGATGGTGGTCCCCACCTTTAACCATAGTTAGAAAATCTAGAGTTAACCAAACCTGCCATCGGGGTTAGATCCTCCCCTCAGGTTTAGCTTCTCAGATCTCTCCCCAAAAAAGATTAGGGTTTCAAAATCTCCCAAATCGACGAATCTTCTCTTCAGTTTTTCGTATTGTAGGTCCCGTCAAATCGACGAATTCTTCCTGTGTGTGTTGTTTAGTTTTTGGAAATCGAATTGGAAAAAGAAAAAGAGATAAGAAAAATAGGGAAAGAAAAAATGGAGACGCAGAGGATAATCGAGTTTCCTCACAAGAATATGGATAAACGGCCCAGGAAAAGGCCCAGATTAACGTGGGATATGCCTCCTCCTCTTCCTCCTCCTAAGGTAAAAGAAAAAATTTCTCTCTTTTTTTTTCCCTTTATTCGATTTGTTGAAGTTTTCAGATTATTTTGTCGAGAATGTTGAAAAATTATTTACAGAATAATAGTGAATCTTTGACGTTTTGTTTGATGTGGTAATTTGACAAATTTCCCCTATTTTTCCCTCAATTTTTTTTTTTGTGATTTGGCAAATTTTAAATAACTCTTTGGAAAAATTTACTGCAATTAGAAGTTATGTTCACTAATAGATAATTAAATTTCTTTTATTTTTTAAATTAATAAATTAATTGTTTTTATGCAAAGAAATTATCTTTCGATTAGATAACTGAATTTTTTTCTTGATTTTTTTTATTTTGTTATTTTGGTTTCGCAGGTTCTTCCGGCAATATATTGCGGTCAGGAATTCGGGAATGGAGGGATCGCTAATTTTTCTTATCCTAATAATATGTTTTACAGGGGAATTCCTCGCAATGGCTCTCCTCCTTGGAGACCTGATGATAAAGATGGCCATTATGTTTTCGCCGTTGGAGAAAACCTGACTCCTCGATGTAAATTGGTCTCTCTTATCATAAAATTTAGGACAGTATATATTTTGTGCGTAAAGTTAATTACATCCACATGTGCAACGGGATAATCTTTTGAGAATTTTAAGCAATATGGATTTTGGACATTGGATACTGAACTTGTTATGGAAATCCTAGAATGAAATTATTTTGTCATGCCAAACACCTCGAATATTCTTGAATATTTAACTTGTTATGGAAATCTTAGAATGAAATTATTTTGTCATGCCAAACACGTTGATATTCTTGCATCATTCCCTCATTTATGTGGTATTTTATAGTATGTTCTCATATATTCTTTTATTCTTCATCCCTGCAGACAGAATTCTCAGTAAAATGGGTGAAGGTTAGTGTATTCTTGAATCTGAGTTTTTGCAAACATGGGGAGTGTGGCTGCCATTAGATGAGCATTTTGATGTTCTAATCAATGTAGATATTTTGGATTGTTGCTTAACATGGATTGTGGTCCATTGAATGGTATATTTGCAGGAACATTTGGACAAGTCCTTGAATGTTTGGACAATGAAAAGCAAGAAGTTGTGGCCATCAAAATTGTTCGCTCCATACACAAGTATCGTGAAGCTGCCATGATTGAAATTGACGTCCTTCAGAGACTTGCCAGGCATGATGTTGGTGGTGCTCGGTAAGGATGTCATTTTGTCTTTTTGTTTTCGTATTTATTGTAGAAATTGAAGTGATTATGGTATAAGTGGTTTCATTCCTTGCAGTTGTGTGCAAATACGGAATTGGTTTGACTATCGTAATCATATTTGTATTGTAAGTATTTATTGGTATTTGCAATTCGATTAATTTGAGGGTGCAATGCAAGCTCCCTCATTCCTAAATATTCTGTGAGTTAAAAAACTTGCGGATGAATTTAAATGGTTTGAACAGGTATTTGAGAAGCTTGGACCAAGCTTATACGATTTTCTCCGCAAAAACAGCTACCGTTCATTTCCCATTGATCTTGTTCGGGAGCTTGGCAGACAAATTTTGGAGTCTGTAGCATGTGTGTGGATAATTCTTGTACTGTTTTTAATCTGTATTATATCTACATGATGCTCAAACCCCTTTTAGTCTGAAGCAAATAGTGTGGTTATAGTTGGTTAATTTTATTGGCTTAAGTTCTTACTTTTTCTTGGAACCAAACTTAATTTTTGGTTGGACAAGCTGGGGGTTGATGATGATAATGTATAAATCTAAGTTTTGTTACTTTTGCATCTAGTTAACTGAGTTTTTTTTCTTTCTCCAATGTGCAGTCATGCATGATTTGCAGTTAATTCACACCGATTTAAAGCCGGAAAACATTCTCCTTGTTTCATCTGAATATATCAAGGTGCCAGATTATAAGGTATTGCTTCTTTTTCTGGTCGCTAAGCATGCTTTTTGTTCTTCTGTTTGTATAATTTTAGATTCCTTAATTTACAGTTTATTTACAATGACACTTTGGTATCTTTGAATTCTGATTGCTGATTTCTTGAAAAATTTTATTTTGCATGTGCTTTAGTTTTTATCACGGTCTACAAAAGATGGTTCCTATTTTAAGAATCTACCAAAGTCAAGCGCAATTAAGCTCATTGATTTTGGGAGTACAACATTTGAACACCAGGATCACAGCTATGTGGTGTCAACTCGGCATTATCGTGCACCAGAAGTCATACTTGGTAATCATCATCTTCACATTTGGTTACACATGATGTGTATGTGTACACATCTTGTTGACATCATTTGTTTGATGTTTTTGCAGGTCTAGGATGGAACTATCCTTGTGACTTGTGGAGTGTGGGTTGTATACTGGTTGAACTTTGCTCTGTAAGTGAATTATTGTAGTCTTCTTCACTCGCCACCCCAATGGAAAAAAATCACCTAAAATGTAGATGGAAACGAGTCCTTACTTGCATTTGTATTTTTTAAGTCATTGCCTTATTGGTCTTACTGAATGCTGGAGCAGATGATAATATTGTTAAGAAATCACTTTTGAGCTAGTTATTAGTTAATATAAGTAACACAAGATGCATGAAGCATGTCAAGAAGATAAATCTCATTCTATATGCTAGTATCTAGAATATAATATCATTTTATATGAAGTTGTTTGTGGGAATCTAGAGCAGCTTGTCATTTCTCCCAAAAGTGATTATGGGCCATAATAACCTGGAATATTGTTCATGAGCAGGGTGAGGCACTTTTCCAAACTCATGAGAACTTAGAGCATCTTGCCATGATGGAGAGGGTTTTAGGGCCATTACCCCAACATATGGTGCTCAGAGCTGAGTAAGAGTTCACTCTGTCGCTTGTTCTTGCTGTGAATATGTTGCAGGAGAAGTTCTTACATTGTGCCTGATATTGTTTCAGCCGCCGTGCTGAGAAATACTTCCGGAGGGGCACACGATTGGATTGGCCCGATGGTGCAACTTCAAGAGAAAGCCTGAGGGCTGTTTGGAAATTGCCCCGTCTGCCGGTAAGCTGTTTTGAAGATGCCTCTTCTTAATAACTTATTAGAAATTATCTTAACTCGCTTGTTCTTGCCAATACTAAGTTTCCTGCTTTTTATGGTCATGTCAGTAAATCTTTTTGAGGGGTGAAGCATTTGTGTTTCTTACTAGGCATGTAAGACCATTATTAAATGGCAGAATTATTTATTGCTTTTGCTTGCAAGGCTTTATCTTGAAGGGTACTGGGACTCATTGCCTGTTCTGTTTATTTTGAATCATTTAACCATACCGTTACGAGTCCATCTTTATCTTCATGTGCATTTGTTTCTAAAGTTGTTGATATACCCTCCAAATTGTTGAACTTTGGGCACAACCAGCTCTTTAGTTCCCTGACTTCTGCTCCTAAGCCGCTATTCTTTCCTAATTGTTTTAGTTTTATGTGCTGCAGAACTTAATAATGCAGCATGTGGATCATTCTGCTGGCGATTTGATTGATCTCTTGCAAGGGCTACTACGGTATGATCCAGCAGAGAGACTTAAAGCTAGAGAAGCACTAAGACATCCATTTTTTACAAGAGATCATAGAAGGTTTGGCTACCCTTTGTAATTGGAGATTGGTGAATCATTGTTAATAACGAGCTTGAGCAACCTTGCATAGCGAGGCATATATTGAATGGCATTTTTGTCTCTAAAGATATTTGCAGAATCATATAATATAATATGTATAGTGTATACTCATTCCTATTCCAGAACATGCCCTATTAGCTTCTCCTTTTTGTTTGCCCCTCGTTTCCATTTTGTTTCTCAGCATGTTTGTTATCTGGTGGCCCTATGTGAATTGTACCCACCTGATAATTTCCGGTTTGCGGTCTGATGTTCAAGAAGAGCAATAGAAAAGTTGTGTTCAAAATTTTTACTATGCTTCTACTCGCATCCAAATCTGTGACTTAAATCGGAGAGTATCTTAGAAAATTATCTAATCTTGACTTGATGGGCAGTCTGAATGAGAAGGGAATGATCATGATGTTTTGATGGCTCTAGCCAGCTGGTTGTCTTGCTCTACTTGTTTTCGTTGATGTGATTGGAATTCTCTCCATCAGCGAGGAAGTACATGTTCTTTTTATTGAATTAAATGCTCATTCGGATGATTTATACCGCTGAAACAGTGCCATCAATATTGAATTCTCTGTAGCTGGGACAGAGAATCCATGTAAATAGTGTAACCGTGAACAAACAGGGAACTCTGTCTGTCATTTTTTAATTTTAAGCGAACAACAAAGCTTGGGTTATGGTTTCTAGCTGTAATTGCACCGAGAAATGTTCTTTTACTCTGTAATGCTGTAGCTAAATTGATATTCTAATCAACAAATCAAAGATTAAAGTCGACAAACGTAATAATGTTGGAATACGTTTTTGCTTTATTTATATAAAATAACAAGCACGAATTAGGCCAATTTGATGTTGAAAGTTAGACTCTGCTATCATGTGCCGAAGAAGCTGATCTAAGAGTGTGGCTAAAGAGTATCAAACGGTGGATGTCGAGGCACGAGTTTTCTAGTAAGTTTGAACCAATCACTTTCAAATGTGCTAAACGTGATGATTCATACGACAAACCTTTACTGAATCTTGGTAGATGTTTAGCTATATTTGGGAGACATGGCTATCACTGTGGGAAGTGTGGCTACTATTTATAAGAATAGGTACTACTAGGCAACGGAAAATATACCCCAATCTACCAATAATTACTTTCATAATTATTTTTTTTATGCAAAATCTTGAATACGTCATTGTCTATAATAATGGTATATGCAAAGTACAATATTGTGTTATAGGGAGTGCAAGTAGTAGTGTAAAGGTGAGCTTGGTAAAACGTAGAATGTATGATTTACTAGCTTTAAGCCAATTTTGCTCTCATGCTAGCAATGATGCTAAGGGTATTAGGACCAAAATTAATTATTGAGGTATGTTTTTTCTGACTCAAAGAATTAGAGTTGGAATCTTCCCTTACCAATTTTAAGAGAGAACAAGGGCTAGGAGAGGGACCATAAAAACCCCACCATCTTCTGTCAATGTCCTAACCGGATAAAAACCTGAATACAACACCTCATAACCCCCCTTTCCAATTATATAAATCAAAGGAAAACAACATGACACCCGGATAATCTCATACCCATGATTTTCCTTTTTCATGGTATGCAATAAGGATAACAGTGCAGTAAACTTCCACCAATCTACTATAATGAGAACATAAAATCATAATTTCAAAGATCATTTAGTGTATTTATTATGAAATTTTATATCGAATAGGTAAAAAATAAATTATAAATTTATAAATATGAATGATGCATATTTTATAAATTAGTAATTAGAGAAAATAATGATTATGTTTCAAAATCAATTTGGACTTAAATTAAATATTATGTCAAACGCTTCAATGGATGCAGTAAGCTGAGCGACTTGATTAGTGACAAAAATATCTCGAACTTGAAAAAAAAATTACAAAATCTCATAATATTTACTGTAAAAGAATTTTTTTATAAATTTACCAAATTAATCTTTTATAAAGGGCGGAATGACCAGCGGCTTATGGCATAGCTGCTCTAGAGCGTGGGAAGAGCGAGGTGCACCCTGCTTCGGCAGCTCAGCAGCACACCCAAACTTGGACGGCGAGGCGGGGCCCATGAGTCACGTGGAGGGTGGCTTAGTGGACACGTAAGAGACAAACGAAGGCTGCTCACAAAAATCTCCTCTAATCTCCTCTCCACCAATCATAGACATCGTCCCACGTGCGTCTTTGGACCCCACCAACAACCTATGAGATCATAGCATCAAACCAAGGTTCTTCCCATTCAAAACTTCTTTCATTAATTACTATTCAAAACTCAATCCATCATTTTCCTTTTATTTTTATTTATTTATTATTCAATAATATCCCATGTTCACTCACAGTCTTTATATATTGAACATTTTTGGCCCTTCTCTTGATCTCTAGCTCATTCTTCCTTCTCTACACTCACTCTCTTCCTACTTTCTCCTTTTCTCTCCCTTGCCCTTTGTTTTTTATCTACTTTTCCCTTCTTTTTCTGGCTTCTTCTCCAACTTTGTATTCATTTCCATATACATAATTAAGCCTGAACAGCAGAGAAGAGTGTTCTTTTTTGTTTTTTTTTCCTTTTTTAGCTCTAATATTTGATGACTATTATGGGGGATGACTCTTCTGCTTCATACATCCACATGGTAAGTAATCTTCTTGATTTTTCTAAATAGTTCATGTCTTTCCAATCTGATGTTGTTTTGTTGCTAAGATGATCAAGTTTATGCAGGTGCACCATCTTATAGAAGAGTGTTTGATATTCAACATGAGCAAAGAAGAGTGCATGGAAGCTTTGTCTAAGCATGCAAACATTAAACCAATCATTACTTCAACGGGTCAGTCACCTTTTCCTTTCATAAGAAACACTACTCACCCACGTATAAACATATACAAACAAGCTTAATTGTACATGCTCGTGATGCTTTTCTGATCGAAGAGAGAGCCTGGTGTCAGTGTCCTATGTATTAGTTAGAAAGTCTTGGGAAATTAAGGGTCTTAATATTTTTTTTGGATGTGATCGTGTGTGAATGGTTTTGGTTGCAGTTTGGAATGAGTTGGAGAAAGAGAACAAGGAGTTCTTTGAGGCTTACACAAGGGGCAGAGATCAGAGAGCTACTGAAATCGAGAAAAGGCAAAGGATCCAGAGCAGGCTTAAGGCTTCCATGAGGGAGGCTATTGATAAGGACTGATCCATTATCTATCTATAGCTCAAATCGAAGTGTTTAATTAGAATTGTTTGAAACAGTTAGCTTAATTAGTTTTCAGTAGCAGTACTACTCGAATATATAATATATCAGCATAAAGGTCCCGCAGCAGATGGTCCAGAATTTCAGATCCTACTTGGGTTTAGCCTTTGGTAAAAGAAGAAGGAAACGTTTGGAAGGCATGACTGGTTGTGTAAACAGTAGTTGGGAAGCGTGACGGCATGTGGGAGCGGTATGTGGACGGAGGTTGCATGAGTTCATGGCACGTTGTGTAAACGTGGCATCGCCCTCTTTGTTCCTTTTCTTTACGTGTCCCTTCTTTGCTCTTTGTAAAATTTCTACTAACGTCCGTTTATCCATTTGAAGAGTACTAGTCTCTCTTTCTCTCCATTATTGTGATTATGAAGTTAAAATGATGTCAAGGGAATTTGGGGACCATTGCTTAAAAGGGACGAGGACGACTGTGTCAATTGTCACCGTCCCAAGCTTTTTGGTTTTTCGTTTGGTTCAAATGAATTTGAAGAGCGAGGGATCAATGCCAAATAACAAAAACAAGTTCTTGAATTTGCTTTTGTTCATATTCATGCGTTTACATATGATGTGAAGTATGCGGTTGAGAAAGCTAGCCAACTTGACCTTTTACACTGTATGAGTTCTGAACCCAATTGCCAGCTTTCCCCCGGCTGGTTTTCACATGTTTTTGGATTTCACTTCGAAGAGATCATTTTCTACATATTGGGGGGTCAAAGATGCTTTAAGTCTAAAGATAGAAAAAACTTGTTTTCTCGGCTTTGCCTTACAAGAAGAATAACAGCAAGCTAATTGTTTGGGTAATGAAATTTGTTGCAACTTTCAGGTTAGAAACCGTGGTGGTCCATGCATGAGAAAAGCCAAAGGTGATGATTTGGATTATATGTGCAGATATCACCGCAAAAAGCTAGTACTAGCAAAATTAAGAAGAACAAAAATTTGAGTTTGTTGGTATCCTGCAGCCTGCAAAAGTGATGATTTGTTCTTCCTTCTTCTCTTAGCTAGCCAGCATAAGAGAGGAAAGTGTGGACTATGTTTCTTTTTGGGACTTTGGCTTGTGATTTTCACAACCATTTTTCCTAACCAGGTTCAGCTTTTGGCACACATCTTGAGCGGGCTTGTTGCTGATGTCGGGTGATGGATCGTTTCACTGATTGAAATGATTTAGTACCATTTTTTTGATCTCCCAGTCCGGAAAGAGTGAATTTGGACCGCGAGATACCCAAAGTCTGTTCCAAGCTCCAGAGAAAAGACACAACCTGCTGCCCTATCGTCTGTCCCAAATGTTACAAAAAGGGGCGGTGGCATATTAATTGCTCACGACAGCGGTCACTTCCCCTAACAATAAATACAGAAAGCACAAGAAGGTCAAAAAAACTCGTGAATCTCGTGCATGGCGTGGTGCGATTCTAATTGCAATTTGGACCCTCTCAACATTTACAGCAGAAAACCTTCCAAAAGGGGAATTCCGGGTAGCGAATAAATACTTAACTAGTTTTGTCTTTTGAGTATGTAGTAACAAAAACGTACCAAAGGGAACGAGAAATGATAGTGATGAAGTGCCGGTAAGGGAAGAAACACTGCCTCCCTTTAACTTACCATTTCCTACAAAAACAACTTAACACTCAACTGTTATTCACTGCTTATATGTGAATCTTGTTGAATTATAGGAATACAAGGTAGAATCAAAGACAATGAAGACAGCAAAGGCTAGTTAAGAGCAGAAAATAGAACTAAGATTTTCATTCATTAAGTCTGTTACATACGTTGCTGGAGCATATATTGAAAAAAAACACAAACTAAAGCTTAAAAATATTTAACTGACAGTTTCTTCTAACTGGACCATGAGGCATACTACTTGTCGCAACCTTGTACATAGCAGTCATGCATAGAGTACAGAAAGTGTTACAACTGAAACTAAGATAAAGGCAAATACAGGGAAATAAAATAAAACTTGATTCTTAAAGCAAGCCACTGCCATTGGAGAGTTAAAGGAGATATGTTGTAATCTCAACAAATCTAAGTAAATCTTAAGTTTAAAATATGGTTTTTTTTTTTAGGAAAAAGAAAAAAATTAGCAAAAGTGATCTTGTTTCTTGACTTGATATAGTTAAATCTAAGTTAGCAATTCTGAACACTTATTTTTATAAAATATAAAAACATTGTCTGAAATTGTTAGATCCTTTCCACAATCTCATGTAACAAATCAAAAATTGGACTAGTATAGACTGTTTTCATATCTTTATGAATGATAATATATGAATATATGATGGGAATGCACCCGATTATCCGAACACTGATTTAATGACCGATACATGTCATAGGATTATTACCCAAAGCAGTGTTCATATTTATTAATCTAAGTTCCCTTTTTAACATATCCGATATGAGTTTGCATAGCATTCTCTTCTATCCAAACCCCTGGTGCTCTCATTTCGAATAAGATCACCTTGCTTACTCACTAATTGGAGCTCTTGGTGTGATAATGGAATAAGATCCAAGTTGACTTTACCATCATTACCCTCTACTCAAAGAAAGTAACTTATTAAAATATGTAACGTTTATGCTTATAAGTCGAAGATTACTCCTTTATCTATCCGATGTAAAATTCCGTAACACATGCATTTTCTATTAGAATTTTTGTTTTCCCTTTCAAAAGAAATGCAATTATGGGAATTGTTTGAATTGGGCCTGAAACTAACTTGGACAAAGCATAGTTGGGCCCAATACCATATTGGACAAAGCATCATTGGGCCTTAAACTCCAAGCCGGACTGTCTGATGGACGCTGCTGTTTCATCTGGAACCGAAAGCCGCACATTCCCGAACCCTCGTTTCTCAAAGGGTTTTGAACTTTCCGCTCCCTCTCCGTTATCATCTACCAGGGTTTTAGAGGGGAACTCTTCTCTTTCTCTAAGACATGGAGTCTTTTGCTAAAGTACACTGCCGTCACCAACCTCTCCACCTCTCTTTCAATCACAACCGTCCTTCATTTCCTAAACCCATCTCCTCCCTCTCCTTCAGAACAACGCTGGTCAAATTATCCTCCATCAGAGCTTCATCTTCCTCATCATCCTCCTCAGCTCCGCTATGTCAAAACCCCAAGCCTTCGCTTTTCCAAACGTTAACCCCTCTGCTCAAAACGACTTGCATTGCCGTAACCGCTGCCGCCGCACTCTTCTTGACGCGCTTCCACCAAAAACCGGCACTTGCAGCCCCGACAGTAACGCCCACTGTGGAGTCCACCTCGACGGACACGAATATCTCCTTAGAAGATCAAGAAAAAACCATCGAAGAACACTTAACTCAATACCCAAATGACGCTGAAGCTCTACGGTCTCTCATGGAGGTGCGGATCAAAGCAAAGAAACTTCAACAAGCTATAGAAGTTATCGACCGTTTGATCGAGCTCGAACCCGAAGACACAGAATGGCCCATGTTAAAAGCTCAAATCCATAGCTACGGTGGCGATTACGAGCTAGCCAAGAATGAATTCGAAGAAATATTAGCTAAAGACCCGGTTCGGGTCGAGGCTTTTCACGGGCTTGTAATGGCTTATTCTGAGTCGGGGCAAAAAATGAAAGAATTGGAAAAAAGAATTGAAGGGGCAATGGAGAAGTGCAAGAAAGAGAAGAAATATAAAGATTTTAGGGATTTTAAGCTATTAATTGCGCAAATTCGGGTAATTGAAGGGAACCATTCGGAAGCTTTGAAGGTTTATGAGGGTTTGGTTAAGGAAGAGCCGAGGGATTTTAGGCCTTATTTGTGTATGGGAATTATTTATACTCTATTGAAGAAGAAAGATGAGGCTGAGAAACACTTTGAAAAGTTTAGGAAACTTGTTCCTAGGAATCACCCTTATAGGGAGTATTTTGTTGATAACATGGTGGCAACGAAGCTTTTTGGAGAAAAAGCTGAAAGAGAAGGAGCAGGAAAGATTTGAGAGAAATGGGTTGTTCTTTATCAAACGTGAAGATTGGTGATTTTTGCAAAGAGGTCCCCTTTTGTTTTTAAGTTAAATTTTCACTTGTTTTTCTGTTTTTAATTCTCTTTCAGTTTTTGTGCAACAGTCTGGATAGTAGTTTATTATTAAAGGGTAGGTATTTAGTGTTGTAGTATGCATATTGATAAGAGGCATAGTGGATAATTGAGTTAGTTTAGTCATTATATGTGTCTGAATTTTGCATGGAAGATGGTAGGAAGCTTAATATACTTGTTATTTCATGCCTTATGGTCAAATCGTTCCCTTTGTTTTATTTATTGTTGCAACTTATAATTCTTTTGGTTACTATAAAAATTTCTTAGTTGAGCGTATTCATAGCAAGTGGAAATTTAAGTTCCTTTTTGTACTTTCTAGTTGCTACACTTATGTATATTAATGTTTCTTCCTGAATGGTAATTGCCAAGAAAAATGGCAGTTCATGTTCAGGAATAATGGTTAGAGTTGGGAAAACCTGCTTCGATCGATGACTATGGGTCCTTGAATTGCTGGTTGGTTATATTTTGTTGCATGCAAAGTGATGACTCTCAATACTTTCTGTTTCGTTGGTGGTTGACTCTGTGAAGAAAATTACCTTGCAGTCTGCATTTTAAGTTTAGTATGGTGAAATAATGATACCAATGCATTTTGTTACATACTTGTTGGATTTTACAATAGCTTTCTCTGTTAATTATGTATGGTCGTGATAAGTGACTGATGAGTCATTTGGTGAGTAGCTCTCCTGGTTCATTGTGGTGCTTTTGATCGTAAATGCAGTGATGAAGCTATGGTTCATAAACAATCCTACCAGTCCTTTCCTCAATTTCACTTTGCGCTATTCTTGACCAAGCTGCTGTGGTGTCCTGCATAACCTATCTAATTAAACATAGGAAATGCTATGAAATGCGTCCCATATGAGGATAATTCATGAAGTTGCTGTGGCTCATAGGCTCATAAAAGATATAAGATGGATATTGATATCTTTACTTTGGTTTTTTTAGTGGAAGGCAAGCAATTTAGCACATGTTATACATACTGGGAGCCAATAATTTGTCGAGTAAGATGGGAATGATTACTGTGGTATAGATTGCTTTGTATTGTAGTCTACTTAAGTATCTACACCAGTTTTACGGTATAGTTTCTTCCTGAGGCTGCTGTGATAAGTGAGAAGTGCTGTTTGCCAGAAGTGATTTTGTTTAGATAAGAGGCCTGTGAATGCACAAATTTAGAACTCTCTGCCTGAAAGAGAAGAGAGAGAGAGGGTAGGAATTAATTGTTTAATCTGCTTGGTTTTGTGGTTTTCTACCTGTTTCAAATGGTACCAACTTCAAAATAATTTCCTATTTCTTTCTAGGTTAAAAGGTCTCTTCGTCTATTTTGTAAAATTTGTGGTGTCTTACGCCTGATGTTGTGGCATTTTGGGTTACATGTAGAGTTTAAAACCTATTGATAATCTTTGATTAGGTTCATTTTAGCGTGGCTCACAAACTACCCCATAAAAATTCTTATATGTAGGACTTTCAGAGAAGAGATTGATAGGGGCCAATTTCTTTTCTTTTTCTAGTGAATG